GATTTCCTCATTTCATTGACGATTATTACCTAGAAAACGATTTCCCCATTTCATTGATAATTAATTATTACATTGGAAACGATTTCCCCCATTTCATTGACGATTATTACATAGAAAACGATTTCCTCATTTCATTGACGATTAATTATCACATAAGAAACAATTTCCTCATTTCATTGACGATTATTACATAGAAAACGATTTCCTCATTTCATTGACGATCATTACATAGAAAACGATTTCCCCATTTCATTGACAATTATTGCATAGAAAACGATTTCCTCATTTCATTGACGATTAATTATTACATAGGAAACAATTTCCTCATCTCATTGACGATTATTACATAGAAAACGATTTCCCCATTTCATTGACAATTATTACATAGAAAACGATTTCCTCATTTCATTGACAATTATTACCTAGAAAACGATTTCCTCATTTTATTGACGATTATTACCTAGAAAACGATTTCCTCATTTCATTGACGATTAATTATTACCTAGAAAAAACGATTTCCCGATTTCATTGACGATTATTACATAGAAAACGATTTCCTCGTTTCATTGACAATTAATTATTACCCAGAAAACGATTTCCCCCATTTTATTGACGATTATTACCTAGAAAACGATTTCCTCATTTTATTGACGATTATTACCTAAAAAACGATTTCCTCATTTCATTGACAATTAATTATTACCCGGAAAACGATTTCCCCATTTTATTGACGATTATTACATAGAAAAACGATTTCCCCATTTCATTGACGATTATTACATAGAAAACGATTTCCTCGTTTCATTGACAATTATTAACCAGAAAACGATTTCCCCCATTTTATTGATTATTACCTAGAAAACGATTTCCTCATTTTATTGACGATTATTACCTAAAAAAACGATTTCCTCATTTCATTGACAATTAATTATTACCCAGAAAATGATTTCCCCATTACATTGACGATTATTACATAGAAAAAAAAACGATTTCCCCATTTCATTGATGATTATTACATGTACCTAGAAAACAATGTTGGTTTCTTGATGATATTTAAAATTCCCCGTAGTTCGGGCAGCTATTGGTTCACCGGGGTTTGTTGATGGGGAAACGCAAAGACGATAAATAAAACTTGATTTTCACATAATTCATAACCTGATGTGATCTACACTATGGAGTATCGAACAACAACTCAATAATGATCAAATAGGATCATGATTTATCGTATAAACTAAGAACCCAGGAAACAACGGTAATTGTTGAATATAAATTTAAAACACTAATACGCATGCGCATTAAATGTTATTGTACGTACTAAAACAAACAGTGCACATGAGTATCAGAGGGTGTCATTGTTTACGAAGACTCAAATGTATGCTACAAGACAGGTTTTTTTTCAGTTCATGGTGAATCACAGTCCAATGCATCTATCAATATACAGTATCAAACAATACAAAAATTATCTGTTCTGCTTATTGCATTTTTAATGTTGAGTGTACATGTCTGTGTGCCTTTCATGACATGGTGAAAACTACGCTAGTTAAAATGATTGCAGTGATTAGTTTGTGAGCCCGGATGCTTTGTTGATCCTTAAAACGCAGTTAGGGCAGGCACTAATCTGAGTCTGTCTTTTTTAAAAACTAAGTCGATTACCGCTATGAACAAGAAACTACGCCAATAAACCTTGCAACTCTAAATACGGGTGTGAATTTGCATCAGCGCTCGTTGTATCTCAGAATTACCCTTAAAATAAAGTTGGTATAGTAGAATAGGAATAACCACCCAGGTGAGTATACCACTCGATTTTGACCAGTTCATTCTATATGCACATTCTCTATCGCTATGTGCATGTCGTGAAACTGATTCAACCTTGTGTATACTTCCTTCTGATGGTGGTTATTTCTTAATTAGCTCACCCATTCCTAAACTGATTGTAAAACAAAACAAAGTGCCACAGTATAATTTTCTTACCAAGTTTTATTGAAATCACCATTTCATTAATGCGAAATCTTTGTACAATTGTATAATTATACACCAACCACCCAACCAACCCGGCAATGATACACTGTTCATTCCACTGATTCACCAACCAATCAATCCGGCAATGATACAAAGTTCATTCCACTCATTCGCATTTTGGGCTGTGCGTAATGACGTGTCATAAAAATGTTCATTTAGTAGCTGTACTGCCCTCTCAAACAGGTTAAATATTATTTACTTTTATTGAAAATATATAGATGTTGTGCTACAGATTATCTCATCTATTTATATTCCTCTTAGCCCCTGACACATAAGGTCATACATATATGTTGTGGCAAATTCACGTGATTTGGGTATTAAAATTTATTTTGATTTGACGCATTACTTTCAAAATCTTGTGTGCTTCATTCATACATTCAAGTGAGGGCGTAACGTGAATTCCACATTAGCAATGCAATATTGAAAAGTTACCGGAAATGTCACGTGGGAATTATAGTCAAAACCTCTTGTAATTAATTCGATAGATGGTAAAACAAAAATAGACATTAGTGTTAAAAGATGTGGTCGTCACGGCGTGTGATAAAGACCCCATGCGACATACACAACGCATGTATTACACGTAATGCTAACACGCGATGTGTGACAGCCTTTATAGAGTGGTATGTTGTATTCAACATCACCAAATGATTTTTACAATAACTTTTAATTGTATCACACGCAATACAACAGTCGCATAAATAGAAAATGATGCATACACATTATGACCATTTAACTATAATCAGCGAAACAATCTGTAATTAGTGACACAATCTGTAATTAGCGAACAAATCTGTGATTAGCGAAACAATCTGTAATTAGTGACACAATCTGTAATTAGCGAAACAATCTGTAATTAGTGACACAATCTGTAATTAGCATAACAATCTGAATTTAGCAAAATCGTAAAATACTAACTGTCTGACATAAATTATTTACTCAGTACTCATAGTTCGTTCCACAATATACAAATAATTTAATATACTGGTCAAGTATACGATGATAGTTTCAAATACTGTGCATGTAGAGAGAGCCCTTGTTTTGATAATTATAAAAGTATATACAATACAGACAACTATTATTTTACGGCAAATGTTTCTCATACGACTAAAAAATAAATATACTGGCAGTTGTGAATATTTCACGACTATTGTCATTTCGCTAATTACCGTTTAATGGTAGTTATGTGTAGGTAGTTTTTTTATTGCGTCAATTTGACAATCAAACTTTAAAAAAAAGCACATAATGTACAAATAAAACTGAAGTCGATATGTAAAATATAAAAGCCTTCCAGTTATTTTCAGCTTGTTTTGTTTCACATCATGTCGTAACCAAACATTTCGAAATCCAGCGAGTAAACTTCTTTTAAATTCTGATACACGGTTGGAGATAGCTGAGACATGTAACTATCGATTGACGTCACTGAAGTATGTGTGTTGTGATTGTTGAGTTTTGTGGTTGGGAAATGTACAATATCGTAAACACCGATTTCATGGAGCACGAAGTTAGTATCGCGATCAAGAGTTTCATATTTGCCAATGATATCATAGTCAATATCACACGGACGGCACAGCCTGTGGTACTGGTCCCAGTGCATATCGATTTGTTTGGTGTTAGCAAATGCCGTAACATAGCCAATGAATTCTTCAAACGTCACTTTCGTTTTCTGCGCGTCAAGTTCGCGAGCACTCATTTCCGGGTGAGCCCACTTTTTAATAGGAACACCAAATGTCTTCATGTACCACCACTCCTCATGGGCGACGCCCATCTCGAATTTATCACGAAATGCGGAGACCAATCTCTCAAAAGGGTGCCTTACAAAGAAGAACTTTTTGTAAGTGTGAATGCGTCTAAGACGTTCGGCTGGAGAAAAGGTTTTTAATGGTTTGTGCTTGGACGTGTAAGCGAGGTAATGATCTTTTCCAACCTGTGACTCGTTTTTGACGTCACCCGCTAAGACCATGAGTACGCGTCTCCAGTTAGAAGTGGCGACTTTGTGGATAGGACAGTAGAGCACTTTGTACTTGTCGTCTACGTATATTGTTGTGGAGGCAGTGACATTTTCCAGATTTACGTGATCCTGGTACAAACTATTCGTTGAACATGTCACTTTCAGTTGGCGTCTTCTTTCTTCAAGTTCATTTTCAAGTGGCATTAGCATATTATGTAATGTTGTCTGTGTGATGTTCGTGTCATTGTCCTGAAAATCAACAAGAAACTCAAAGACATTTATTAAGTAGGCATAATAGGGGATTACGTAACATTATGGTCTTGAGTTTGGAGCACAGCAGTTATTCGGTCGTTTGTGAGAAGCCCTGACACACCTTGGAAAGTTAGACAGTAAGTAGAATGTACTTGAATAGGTGGCACTGATCATTGATCGCTCCTATTGACATGGCCGAAGTAGACCTCCGGTGGGCTGGGGTTGTCAATTGATCTGTATTTTTTGCGGGATGAAGGGGGAGGGCCTGGCGTGCCTCATCGTAAATCTGCACGTGCTGATTTATTTATGAATGACCTACACGTCAATGTTACTATGATAGTCATTTCAGACTGGTTGACTAGACCTTCAGAGAGTGGTCAAATAACTACTTTTATCCAATATATCATGCCGGCTTTCTTTTTCAAACATGAAAAATGTTGCCCAGGAGATCACATTTATTGAGTATCTAGTCAATCAACACAACGATTTTGTAGAAGAGTTTTTTTGCTGTTTTTATTAAAACAAATGGCGCTCATAGTCACGTGACTGTTGGTGATTTTATTGCCTATATCTATTGTACACAAATGGTAGTATACACCATAAACAATTCAAATCGCCTTCTTAAAGTGGCAAAATAACCACATCTCTATAAATCTCAATAAAAGAGTACACGAGATGCATTTTGCAATGCATTGACTCGTGTTGACATACAGGTTATATACGAAAAAAGAATTCATTACTGCTGACAGCTGCAACACGCACAATCGGGTTTTATCGTACATAAAAATGCAAAAATAACAATTGATAACATCATTCAATTATATGGAATGAAGTAAACAAAAGTGAAACAGTCATTCAAATTGTTCCTTAACTGTGAGAACGCAAGGCATAAATGATGAACCGTTTATTTCATATCAGCAATGCTTGGTCCAAAGTGTGTGAATATGACAATGGTTACCTTTGAAATGTATGTAAATAATGAATGTGAATATGACAATGGTTGACATGAAATGTATGTGAATATGACAATGGTTGACTTGAAATGTATGTAAATATGACAATGGTTGACATGAAATGTATGTAAATATGACAATGGTTGACGTGAAATGTATGTGAATATGGCAGTGGTTAACATGAAATGTATGTGAATATGACAATGGTTAACATGAGATGTATGTGAATATGACAATGGTTAACATGAAATGTATGTGAATATGGCAGTGGTTAACATGAAATGTATGTGAATATGACAATGGTTAACATGAAATGTATGTGAATATGACAACGGTTGACATGAAATGTATGTGAATATCACAATGGTTAACATGAAACGTATGTGAATATGACAATGGTTAACATGAAATGTATGTAAATATGACAATGGTGAACATGAAATGTATGTGAATATCACAATCGTTAACATGAAACGTATGTGAATATGACAATAATTGACATGAAATGTATGTAAATATGACAATGGTTGACGTGAAATGTTTGTGAATATGGCAGTGGTTAACATGAAATGTATGTGAATATGACAATGGTTAACATGAGATGTATGTGAATATGGCAACGGTTATCATGAAATGTATGTGAATATGGCAGTGGTTAACATGAAATGTATGTGAATATGACAACGGTTGACATGAAATGTATGCGAATATCGCAATCGTTAACATGAAACATATGTGAATATGACAATGGTTAACATGAAATGTATGTGAATATGACAACGGTTGACATGAAATGTATGTGAATATCACAATCGTTAACATGAAACGTATGTGAATATGACAATGGTTAACATGAAATGTATGTAAATATGACAATGGTGAACATGAAATGTATGTAAATATGACAACAGTTGACATGAAACGTATTCGAATATGACAATGGCTGATATGAAATGTATGTGAATATGACAATGGTTAACATGAAATGTATGTGAATATGACGATGGTGAACATGAATTGTATGTGAATATGATGATGGTGAACATGAAATGTATGTGAATATGATGATGGTGAACATGAAATGTATGTGAATATAACAACAGTTAACATGAATTGTATGTGAATATAACAACGGTTAACATGAGATGTATGTGAATATGACGATGTTGAACAGG